ATAAAAATAGTTATATTTCCTCACTTTAGTCACAATGACTAACATTGGTAGAACTGGATAGATCAGTAATTTCTGGAAACTTGATTGCAAGACTTCTTCAAACTGGAGTGCAGTAGTGCATTATGAACATAAAAGAATTTGCTAGCATATTCCAGTACCCTGTACATCTTTCTGGGAAGATGTTGATTCAGAAATCCGTACATGTCTCTTACGAAAGTAATTTTTAATAGCTTTTCAGCTTCTTGTTATTTGCCCTTATAGGAAGTCATCAGAAACATTTGGAAGGCATCTGCCGTTTGCTGGTTCTCTGTTTGTCCACTTGTAATTGTAATTGTCTCCATGTCTTTGCAGCTTTTAAAATTATTGTTTCTGAGTACTCCATGGTTAAACATAGAGCTTTCCTGTTCCTTCTCTGATTGATATTTAATGAAGGAAGGGTACAGGAGAAAGAAAAGGATTGAAAGCAGTGGATTTTGCTGGTCTAGGAGGATGTACAAAATCCTCTCAGTTATTAGGATACAACTCAAATATCCAGCAAGCTTAAGACAACCTTAACATCCCTACCATTGTATTGTCGAAGGCTTTCATGGCCGGAATCACTGGGTTGTTGTAGGTTTTTCAGGCTGTATGACCATGTTCTAGAAGCATTCTCTCCTGACGTTTGACCTGCATCTTTGGCAGGCAACCTCAGAGGTTGTGTGGTTATGACAACCTCCGAGGATGCAATTTTCCTTCATTTTGTTGTTGCTGTGTGCCTTCCAGTCATTCCTAAGTTATGATGACCCTAAGGAAAATTGATCATGGGGTTTTCTTGGCAGGATTTGTTCAGAGGGGGGTGCTCCTTTGAGGCAGAGGCTGTATGATTTACTCAGAGTCACTTAATCGGTTTCTTTGTCTGGGAGGAGATTAGAACCCAAGTCTCCAGAGTTGAAATCCAGTGCAGAAATCACTACACCATGCTAGCTCTATTTTTCCTATTAACCCTTTAGCATTTTAGACCAAGGAGAAAGAGTATTTTCTGTCAGGATTATAATTTTGTGGGATTCTTTTAGGCTTGTTCTTCCTGAGACTGTGGAGGAGGTCCTTGGTGCTGTGAGGGTGACCACGTCGGCTTTAGACCCTTGCCCGTCTTGGCTAATTAAATCAGCCAGGGAGGGGTTGGTTGATTGGTTTGTGTTGATCATTAATGCATCATTGGAGCAGGGGGTTTTTCCATCTCGACTAAAACAGGCTGTGGTTCGTCCACTCCTCAATAAGGTCTCCCTTGACTCCACGGTGCTGAACAATTACAGAACAATCTCTAACCTCCCATTTCTGGGCAAGGTGCTGGAGCAGGTGGTCGCCTCCTAGTTCCAGGGTTTTCTAGATGACATCAATTACTTGGACCAGTCACAGTCTGGGTTCAGGCCTGGCCACAGCACTGAGACAGCTTTGGTCGCCTTGGTAGATGACCTCCATAGAGAGCTGGACAGGGGGAATGTGACTCTGTTGGTCCTCTTGGATATCTCAGCGGCTTTCGATACCATCGATCATGGTATCCTTCTGGGACYGCTCTCTGGGATGGGTCTCGAGGGCACAGTTTTGTRCTGGCTCCGGTCCTTCCTGGAGGGCCGATCCCAGATGGTGAAGCTGGGAGATACCTGCTCGGACCCCTGACCTTTGACCTGTGGGGTCCCGCAAGGCTCTATTCTATCTCCCATGCTTTTTAACATCTACATGAAACCGCTGGGAGAGGTCATCCGGAGTTTTGGAGTTAGGTGCCACCTCTACGCAGATGACACACAACTCTGTTACTCTTTTCCACCTAATTCCAAGGAAGCCCCTCGAGTGCTGGACGAGTGCTTGGCCGCTATGGCTGTCTGGATGAGGAGGAACAAGCTGAAGATCAATCCCGACAAGACAGAGGTCCTCCTGGTCGATAGAAAACCGAATCGGGATATYGGGTGGCAACCTGTGCTGGACGGGGTTGCACTCCCCCTGAAGTCACAGGTCTGCAGTTTGGGAGTCCTCTTGGATTCATCACTTACGCTTGAGGCTCAGGCGTCAGCGGTGTACGGGACGGCTTTTGCACAATTGAGACTCGTGCGCCAACTGCAACCGTACCTCGTGAAGGCTGATCTGGCCGGGGTGGTCCATGCCTTGGTCACCTCTAGATTGGACTACTGTAATGCGCTCTATGTGGGGCTGCCCTTGAAAATGGCTCAAATTTCAGTTAGTCCAATGGGCGGCGGCCAGGATGTTAACTAGTGCTCTTTACAGAGAGAGGTCAACCCTCCTGTTCAAGGAGCTCCACTGGCTGCCGTTCATCTTCCGGTCCCAAATCAAGGTGCAGGTGCTCACCTACAAAGCCCTAAATGGTTTGGGACCTGCCTACCTGCGTGACCGTATCTCCGTTTATGAACCCGCACGTTCCCTTCGTTCATCCAGAGAGACCCTGCTCACGATCCCACCGGCGTCGCAAGCGCGGTTGGTGGGGACGAGGGACAGGGCCTTCTCTGTGGTAGCCCCCTGACTCTGGACCACCCTCCCCAAGGACATCAGACAAGCCCCTACGTTGGCAGTCTTTAGGAAGAGCTTGAAGACCTGGCTATTCCGGTGCGCCTTTCCAGAATAGGATACTCCAGCAATACGTCCCAGAAGCACTTTATTAGAGATTAAGATTGTCTGCACATTGCACTTACCCAAAAATCCTTATATCTCACTCAACATACTCAGCACTTTTTAATCTGTACCCATTACATTTGGCCCGGCCTATACTGTTTTTACTGCTTATTGTTATTGCTTTAATGGTTTGATTTGCTTTGGTTTATGTGTATTTGTTACATTGCTGTTCTATTGAGGCCTTGGCCTATGTAAGCCGCATCAAGTCCTTCGGGAGATGCTAGCGGGGTACAAATAAAGTTAATAATAATAATAATAATAATAATAATAATAATAATAATAATCATCTTTTACATTCTTCAGATACATTCTTAGCACTCTAAAGTTAGCCTTAAAATAACTTGCATACGTTTAAAGAGCAAGTGCAATTTATGGAATCAAAGGTGAGACACAGCTCTGCCTTAACTCTGACCTTTTCAAAGGGTTGGTTGGTTGGTTCCTTGATATTTTGGATAGTTGCTTCAGGTTTTCCTTTGGGCTGAGTGGTTTTCAATATCTTGTTCCCCCTGCCAGGGTGCATTTGTGTAGAACTTTCTGTTGTATTTAATTTCGCTCTTTTATATGCATAGGGCATATAATGTCTTATTATATTTATTTCTGTCTTTTGATATTGTGGAAACAGATTTGAACACTGTAATAGGCAGGAAGGCTGCTTATATATATATTTTAAAATAGCAAAAGGGTAAATCCTTGAAACTTTCTTACTTTCTTAATAAAAAATGAAACAGTAAATATGAAACACTTTTGCATATCCTCTCAGGACCTTGAGTAAAAATGTCCTCTAACTTGCACTATGCGGCAGAACTGGATATACAACATCAAAACCAGCACTTCAGCTTTTGTTGCTTCCTGTGGTCAGTGCTCTAAAATGCAAAAAAGTACCTTTTTGTTTATAGTTTGATCTACTTAGATTCCTTTGCTGATCGAGAGACTGATCATGCAAATTTTGGCAAGATTTATTATGCTCCTGCTTTGGTGGTCTTTTTTAGCTATTGTAACAATACAACGAAATAAAGAGGTTAAAGACTGAGTGACTGACCCATCTTCGTCATAATGGTCCGGAGAGAGATTTCAATCCTGATCTCTAGTTGAGATCTAAATACCTGCTGCTTCACATTGGCTACATTGCTTAACAAGTTATAAAGATATTATGTAATAGCTCTAGGGGATGACTTTATCACACACACATCATAAACTGTTTGTGTGTATATGTGTTTCTTCCTCATGGTCCCTGTGAATAAAGCAAATCAACAGCAAATAAGGAAGGTACAACTAAATCTACCTCCATTGCACTAGCTTTGAATTTTGCACAGAACTTTTAAGCAAATGGTTAAACCCACAGCCTCCTAATATATTTTTGAGTTGGTTCTGATAGATAAAAGGCCTGTACAGTATCAACACTGCATTTGTACTTAAATAAGCTCTGTGACTATCGCATTTTATTGCAGTAGATATGCTCTATTTTTCCAATTAACAAACAAAAGCCATATTGTACAATTCTAACCATTCACACTCTCAGGACCTTTGGAATATGCCAGCAAGCCAAAGGTGAAATTTAGTTCTGGAGAATGTGGAATATCCTAGCAACTGTATTTTTGTAACTTCTCTCTTAACTGCATATATTTAGTTCTTTCACATGCTGCCGTATGGTCAAATGATCACATTAGAATGACAGCAGCCAGCCCTTTTATTTCATATTGTATATACAAGAAAATATTTGTGATCTCTCCTAATTCTATGATCCTATGATTGTTATTGCAGACTGTGAAATGCAGCACATGGGGCTTTTAAAATCTAACACTTTAATCTTATTACTAGTTCAACTACAGTTATACTCAGTGAACCACTGGTAATTACACTCACCAGTTCATTCAATGGGTCTGTTCTGGATTGTGCTTGCAGTTTGTTTTAGTCCCATGTTTGAACCATGCAATGAAAACTATAAACGGTACTATGTTAATATAATGAACCAGTTGAATTGTTTATCAAATCTTACATCATTTTTTAATACAGCTATTTTCTTATAATTGGTTTCATGCTTGATTTCCAGTCCCATGGTTCTCTTATTCAGATAGAAGTATGTTTCCTGAAGTGATGAACCTTAAAGCTTCATTATTTCCCTGCTTTGAGACTATCACTGTCCTTTAATGTTCATAGTGTTTGCTGCAGGCCACCTGCATGTACTCGGCAGGCATCTACATGTATTCCTTGACTCTGAGATTTCTGATGAGATTTTGTTTTTGTGAACCTTTGAATTCTTCTATTCGTGTATTTTTTCGTCTGCAACAATATATTCATATACTCTTACATTTTTACTCATTATACTTTTTGTTTTCCAGATATGAGACATGAGTGTTGGACGCAGAAGATTAAAGTTGCTGGGAATTCTGATGATGGTCAACTTTTTCATATATGTGATAGTAGAAGTCTCAAAGAGCAGTGGCCAAGAGAAAAATTCAAAAAGAAACGTTATATTACCAGATAGCAGATTTTGGAAAAAATATACTCCTCACAAGGCCTATTGGAATAAACAGCAGCAGAAACTGGAACGCTTGTACAATCCTGTTCTTGCATTTCTTTCCAACATGACTGTGGAAGAAAGGTTATCTTCTAATGGTAGCTTTTCAAACTTCTGTGAACCTGATCCGTTTGTAGCTTCAGAGCTTGATGGTTTTCCAAACTTGCCAGATCGGTTTAAAGATTTCTTTCATTACTTGAGGTGTAGAAATTACTCTTTATTGATGGACCAACCAAACAAATGCAAACATAAACCTTTTCTGCTCCTGGCTATCAAATCGCTCATCCCGCATTTTGATCGAAGACAAGCGATCCGTGAATCTTGGGGAAAAGAAATGAAATCTGGAGACATGACTGTTGTGAGGGTGTTTCTGTTAGGCCTGACCCCTCCAGAGGATCATTATCCTGACCTCTCGGATATGTTGAAATTTGAGAGCGAAACCCACCAAGACATTCTTCTGTGGAACTACAGAGACACTTTCTTCAATTTGACTTTGAAAGAGGTACTGTTTTTGAAATGGGTCAGTAGTACCTGTCCAGACGCCCAGTTTATTTTTAAGGGAGATGATGATGTTTTTGTGAATACTCATCAGATCCTGGATTACTTGAAAAGTTTGACCAAGGAAAAAGCCAAAGACTTGTTCATAGGTGACGTTATCAAAGATGCTGGACCTCATCGCGATAAGAAAGTGAAGTACTACATTCCTGAAAGTATTTATGAAGGCTCTTACCCTCCATATGCAGGAGGTGGTGGGTTTCTCTATTCCGGTGATCTAGCGTTAAGGTTAACCAACATATCTGACCAAGTCCTTCTCTATCCTATTGATGATGTATATATTGGAATGTGCCTTCAGAAACTTGGGCTTGCTCCAGAGAAACACAAAGGCTTTAAGACATTTGATATTGATGAGAAGCAAAGGAATAATATTTGCTCATACACAAACCTAATGTTAGTCCACAGTAGGAAACCTCAAGAAATGATTAAGATTTGGACAAACTTGCAGAATCCACATTTAAGTTGTTAAGTATATATCTGTCCAAAAGATGTTTCCAAACTTGAGTTTAAATTTCTTGGCTTAATTATTAGTATGCTGACTTCATTCGGTGGCTTGTTTTCTAAACCAGAAGTTGCTTAAAATAGTTTGTCCAGTACTACTTAAAGTGAGGCTTCCTCAATACCAGAACACACACCATGAGGATATGGCATGGAAATACTGTACTTACCTTTCAACTGTCACATTCTCAGTGCTTTCACATAATAAAATATTGAAAAATCATAGCTTTCAGACATTGTGATTAACTAATTATTGATTAAATGATTGGTTATCCTGTGAGATTGGTTATATTGTTTTCTAGTGCTAGTAACCAATTGTGATAGTAGAATCAACACACTGATTTGTTTGCTTTCATTGTCTTGAAGACACTGTTGTTACTCAAAATTCTGGAAAGTAACATCATAAAAAACATGATAAATCATTACTGGAAGATTTTTTTAAAGCAGTATTTGGTTAAATATGGTGGAGACAATTATGCCGTCTACATATGACAGTGCATTTGGAAGTCCAGATGAGCCATGTATCTGTTGCTGAGAAGTTATAAAACTTAAAGCTTGAATTGTGATTTTGGAGGTATTTTTTTCTTTCACTGATGGATTCACTATTGGACAAACCTTTTAGCCTTTTAAACAGGCACCAGAGTTGCACAGTCTCTTATTTAAATGTTAGGCTTAACATTTGTCTGTTGCTGTGTTTTCTAGTGATTTTTTAATGGCAACGTGACACAATTTAACACACGAAGAATTGCTAATTCTTTCAGAAATCATTTTGGCCTGTTCTAGAGGCTAAGATTGCAGCCTCATGAAAATGTGATTATTCAACTCTGTACTTTTAAAGTGAAGCCTAAAATGTCAGAGAAAAACACTGTTGATTCCTACCTGCCATATCTTCATTTGTGTTACATCAAACAATTATTCAAACCAGTGACTGTCATTATATATGTAGAAGTGCCTGTATTTATTGTTCAGATTGAAGACCAAAACACTTTCTTAAATATATTTAAGAAATATTTGTATAGTGTTGTCAGTCATATTTAAATAAAGTACACTATTTTAAATGTGTTGAAAATATAAATTGTTAAATAAAATGGTTTTTCAATTTGAAAATTTTAATCCATTTCTTTTTCAGTTTGTTTACTTCCTTAAAAGCTTTCCATCAGCCTTTTTGTGGCCACCACAACCACCTTACATTACATTTGACAGCAATTTTTTTGTAATGCATATTTGATGCTGCATTATACTTGAGCGAATAATACCTCATTCTCATAGTTGCAAAGGGCCTTCGAAACACGCGGTGTATTCAATATTTCTGAGTTCTGTCATGTGATCTTCTTCCTTAGAGGCCCCGACCACCCTTTTGCTATTCAGACATATGTGTAATGGTGCATCTGTTGCCATCATGTGGTTCCTTGTGTGAAAATAACCCTAATACCAAGTTCAGAATAAATAGAATTATGTTAAGATGATAATAAAATTAAGCATTTTTAAGACATTTCAGTCTAAATCTAATTTTTAGATTAAACTAGAGTAGACCAAGTTAATCAAATGGGAGTTTGGTGAGTTAACATTGATGTTTCCTTATGCACTTATTCTACATGATCAAAATGAACAGGAGAAACAATGGTAAGTTGTTGGGTTTTAAAAAACACCTGTATGTTGTATTTCTTTCCCTTATGTCAGTGGTTCTCAACCTGTGGCTCCCCAGGTGTTTTGGTCTACAACTCCCAGAAATCCCAGCCAGTTTATCAGCTGTTAGGATTTCTGGGAGTTGAAGGCCAAAACATCTGGGGACCCACAAGTTGAGAACCACCTCCTTATGGGCTTTATGTTGAAATCTTTACAGAGTCATAAAGTTTATTAGAGGAACTAATTACCTCTTATCTTAATCCTTCGAATTAGATTTGTTGGTTTTATAGATTGGAATAATACAGAGTTCACTATGCTGAGCTCCTTAGAAGAGTAAGATACAAATGTGATATATAAACAGTAGACCTTACACAACAATAAGCTCTCAGTAAATCAAATGCATGTAAAAATGCCATTTAGAAACATTAAACTGTGTTGATAGATGCAACCGGTTCTAATAGAAAACAGATGTTTCAAACTTGAGAACACTCCAAGCCATGCTATACATTTCAAAAATGAAGATTGTGAGAAAAGCTGAGGACTCAGATTTCAAAATGTATGTATAGTTTAGTCTCATGTATTTGAGAACACTACTAGAATTTCATGAATCAAAAATTCTAGTAGTGGAGCGTCTCAAGATATGAGTGCATAGGACTTCAACCTCTAGGGCAGCGGTCCTCAAACTAAGGCCTGGGGGCCGGATATGCCCCTCCAAGGTCATTTACCCGGCCCTTGCTCAAGGTCAACCTAAGTCTGAAATGACTTGAAAGCACACAATAACAACAACAGTCCAATCTCAGCAGCCAAAAGCAGGTCCACACTTCCCATTAAAATACTTTTTTTTGTCGTGTCAGGAGCGACTTGAGAAACTGCAAGTCGCTTCTGGTGTGAGAGAATTGGCCGTCTGCAAGGAGGCCCTGACCACCCTTTTGCCCAGGGACACTCAGATGATTTGATGTTTTTATCATCCTTGTGGGAGGCTTCTCTCATGTCCCCGCATGAGGAGCTGGAGCTGATAGAGGGAGCTCATCCACCTCTCTCCGGATTTGAACCTGCAACCTGTCGGTCTTCAGTCCTGCCGGCACTGGGGTTTTACCCACTGTGCCACGTGGGGCTCCTTATTGAAATACTAATAAGTTTATATTTGTTGAAATTGTTCTTCATTTTAATTATTTATTGTTTTAAAGTGGGGGTTTTTTGCATTACAAATAATATATGTGCTGTGTATATATGAATTCATTCATGTTTTTTTTTTCAAATTATAATCCAGCCCTCCCAACAGTTTGAAGGACTGTGACTTGGCCCTCTGTTTAAAAAGTTTGTGGACCTTTGCTCTAGGGGCTCATCTACACAGACTACATATGTCAATACCGATCCCGGATCATAGTAATCTTAACAGCATTATAGAATCAGAGTTGGAAGAGACCTTGTGGGCCATCTAGTCCAACCCCCTTCCAAGAAGCAGGAAAATCGCATTCAAAGAACCCCCAACAGATGGCCATCCACCTTTGTTTAAAAGCCTCCAAAAAAAGAGCCTCCATCACACTCTGGAGCAGAGAGTTCCACTGCTGAACAGCTCTCAGAATTAGGGATTTCTTCCTAATGTTCAGGTGGAATCTCCTTTCAGACAAATCACTGCACTGGGGCCCTGCCTACACAACTACTCACAGGAATAAAAATGTGAATTATTGCTAAAATCAGCTTCTATTTATTGATACCTCAACAAAATCAGTACTTGTTTTCTCTTTCTCCTTTGCATCTTGTTTCCTCTTTTGTGGTCCACCCAAAACATTGTATTCTATTTCTGCTCAATAGTTATGAACTTCACTAATACAGTTTCTTTCTCCTCACTTCACTTTCTTAAACTTCCTCTCACCCTTCACCACACAATTAGAATTATTGGAACACAAACAGCGGAGGCTCTGCTTCCAATAATGAAAATGCACATTGTCAGTAATTTTCTCCAGCTGTCAATTGCCTCGCATGAATCCATTACAATATTGTGCTTCCATAACATTGCAGGCAATAAAAATGGCAAAGTTTCTCTTACAAATACAGACAAGCCAACACATAATTTTTTTCTCAGACCAAGGTAACGTGAGATTTGAATCTTTAGGGTTTTTTTTGGTTTTTTTTTTGGGGGGGGGGGGGGTTGTCATGTCAGGGCAACCAGTCAATTATATTACATTTCCAACGGAACAAAGCAAACAAGCAGACAAAATACAAAATTTGTGAGTTTGGTAGTTGATTAAATGTCCTTTGACCAATATCTGGCCACTTGGAGTGCTTCTGGTGTTGCTGCAAGAAGGTCCTCCATTGTGCATGTGGCAGGGCTCAGGTTGCATTGCAGCAGGTGGTCAGTGGTTTGCTCCTCTCCACACTCACATGTCGAGGATTCCATTTTGTAGCCCCATTTCTGAAGGTTGGCTCTGCATCTCGTGGTGCCAGAGCGCAGTCTGTTCAGCGCCTTCCAAGTCGCCAAGTCCTCTGTGTGCCCAGGGGGGAGTCTCTCATTTGGTATCAGCCATTGGTTGAGGTTCTGGGTTTGAGCCTGCCACTTTTGGACTCTCGCTTGCTGAGGTGTTCCAGCGAGTGTCTCTGTAGATCTTAGAAAACTATTTCTAGATTTAAGTCATTGACATGTGCTGGCTGATACCCAAACGGGATGAGCTGGAGATGTCTCTGCCTTGGTCCTTTCACTATTGTCTGCTACTTCCCCGCAGATGTCAGGTGGGAATCTTTAGGTGTGTGATCAGAAATTTAGTGTTAAATTTTTGTCTGCGCCTAGTTTAGCATGGGGTCCTTATAATTGTGGGCTCCCTGGGTAATTGCCATGAATGTCCATGCATTAAGGCAGCACTGTACGTGCCACAAGGGTTTGCACAGCCAGCCACTAAGCCAGTTCAGCAACTTGCAGATGTCCATGCTGGATGCCATTGAGCCACCCTCCAGTTGGCTTGTTGGCGTCAATATGGTCCAGCAGTGCCAAACCCACAGGACCAGCACCTTCTTCCTCTTACTTAGCAGCAATCACTAGGCATGAATTTGCATTCACCGACACTGGACAGAATGAAGCAAGGGAGAGGGGAAAGGAAAGTGCCATCTCCTGTCCTTGAGCTGCAGAAGCCCAGGGAAAGTGGGATGGCCGTGTAAGCAGGTGTGGCCAATTCCAAATAGAAACCAGCCCAACTGTTCCTACTGGCACCAAGTGTGGGCAGGTTCAGAGCTTCAGAGAAGCTCTGGAGCATCCCACAACTTAATTAAATGTCAGGCAATGCCATGTCTAGCATCTCTGGTGGGTGTTTGGGCAAATGGTCCCCATGCATCATGTGGATATCACAGTCCATTCCTCACTGTCCCAACTCATTTGGCCCTTTGGCTGGAATATGATTTTTATAAATACAATGCTTTTCAACAAGATGCGTTTCTCAATTTTTTTAAAAAAAATTATTCGTATGCAAGCAATTACACAAAATATACGATATACTATAGTATGTCTGCACATCTGGTATAAACTACTTTTTCAAATCTTGATTAAGGGTTGTAGAATCATACAATAGTAGAGCTGGAAGAGACCACATGGGCCATCTAGTCCAACCTACTGCCATGCAGGCAAAGCACAATCAAAGCAGATCTTACAGAAACAAGAGCCACCATGGTGTAGAGGTTTGAGCATTGGATTACAACTCTGCAGACCAAGGTTTGAATTGTTGCTCAGCCAGGAAATCCGTTGGGTGACCCTGGGGAAGTTATACTCTCTTCTCCCTCAGTATTGATCTCATGTCTGGGCTCAGAAGGAGGAAGGGAACAACATTTTACTTTTTTATTGACTATGTGTGTGAAGAGACATTTGAAGTTCTCACTCTTACTCAAGATTACTCACAGGGTGAAGGGGGAAAGAGGATTGCATGTGGGAGGCATACAAATAAAGTGCAAGGTGAGTGGCAAGATTGACATGTAAACAGTAAAAGCTATTGGTCCATAGGTTTATGTATGCTGGGAATTAAAAAGGGCAGCCCTTTTGTAACTATTTGAATTTGGAAAATATTTGGCTATCAATAGTATTGGAGTGTAATTTATTCAGAGTAAATGTGGTGCGAACTGGGTGCGTCCAGGGAAGAATCCTGAGAATTGCAACTAAATTATTGTGATGGTGTAGATAACTCCTTAGTCATGTAAACAGGGGGTTGGGGGGTGCAATTCTCTCTTTATTTCTTTCCTTTGGAAAGCTACTGTGAGTTTGTTAAACTCGTAGATCATGGTTATGTACTATTTTACAAGTACAGTAAAGTCTCTATTATCCAACATAAACAGGCCAGCAGAACGTTGGATAAGCAAAAATGTTGGATAATAAGGGATTAAGGAAAAGCCTATTAAACGTCAAATTACGTTATGATTTTACAAATTAAGCACCAAAACATCATGTTTTACAACAAATCAACAGAAAAAGCAGTTCAATACATGGTAACATTATGTAGTAA